TTAGGTTGTCAGTTAGAGGTCTTGGAATTAGATCTTTAATTTTTCTCTTGCAAGTTAAGAATTCGTCTCTTCTGTTTTGGTAATTGAACTTAAGGGTTCCTGCCTTTAATTCTGGCTGAGGTTGGTTCCTTTTGATTATCAGGATTATTTTGTTTTATGAGAGAAAGAGAAGGGAATTTGGTTCCTCATGTTGTTTTTCTTTACAAGTGAGAAGTTTGTGTGATGTGAAAGAGAATATTTTTTTCTCTGACCTAGGCTCTGATTTTTACCTCTTTTAAAGAAGTCAGTTTCCTGTTTTACACCATTAATCAAACCCACCTAGACCCTGCCAGAAAACTGGCCAAGCTACAAAAGCAGTTGCTGCTTTGCCACTTCTGAGGTTGCCTTTCCAGAACTGTGCTCTGTTCCTTCTGAAACGGTTGATGAAGTGTTATGAACTTGAGAGGTTTTGCAGCGTTGTCTGTATTTGGCACTGATAATGTTACTGTTGGGCCCCGACTGCGTTTTCTAAATTTCCTTGTTGACTGACTTACCCTAAGTGGTTGTGTCCGTCAGAATCTTTCTTCTCTAAAGCTGTTAATGGGGAGAGAAAAGAGTTCTTTTGTGTAGCAGTTAACTTAGTAAAGATCTTTCCCTTTGATATTTCCTGTTCTGGTTTAGAGCAATCAGATTCTCTTGGGGTTTTGGTTTGGTTTTTTAGCAGTGATAATAAGTAGGATTAACTTGTTTCTAGAAGTGGATGTATCAAAAAGATACAATAGGTATAATAAAAAGAAGGTAGATGCCTGTGAGTGAGGAAATAGTTTGACAAGGGTTAATGGATCTCCAGGCATAATGAGTGCCTCATAAACTTGTTCTGGAGTTGCCATTTGGAGCCGCAGTAGGAAGACTTTGTATTTGGTTAGCAAATAAGGCGAGTTTGCTCTGAGCCACTCATCCTTTTGGGGTCCACTGAATGTGAAATAAGTGGTTTCTGACGAGGAATCCAGTTTGTTTTTAAAGGAGAGTCTGTGGAATGCTGTTCCTTATTGCAGCTACAGGTATTCATGGTGAAAATATGTTCTTTATTAAACTCACTTCAGCCTGCTGACCTGCTGCACAGTGAAGGGAGTTCCTCTTTGAGTCTGGATGGTGCTGGTTACAGACTGTAAGATGGCTTTTTCCTGCCTTGAAAAAAAGATACCTTTGCTCTGTGTACTTCCCTCCCTTCCCTCTTCGGTCTGATTGTGGGAATGGACTGTGGTAGTTATTAAACAAAGAGGCAGTTTGGTTTTTTTTCTTTCTGCCTCCAAAGGACATCTGTAAGATGACCAAGCCAAGACTCTGCTTTTGTTGGGACCTGTGCAGTTTGCTGCGTTACATTTAGATGTCTCCCATGTGTCTGTATTGCTGACTTTGTGACATGAGACTTTAAAAAATGATCTGCTAAAATAAGAGTAAGCAGTTAAAAATGTGAAAGCTCCATGTAGTGGTGACCTGCTGGCCATTAGCTGTGCATTTGTATTGTCAGCACATCCTCCAGAGTTCCTTCAGTGTCCTGTACTGCCTGGTGCAGCTGCCAGTGGTGTTTGTACCTTTGGAAGGAGTTCTCACGGACACTGTGGATGGAACTTGGTGGAGCCTTGGAGAATAAGATCTGTTATTTGGGGACAATTTAATTAAGGATGATAATAGGAAAACTGACTTGTGTTGTGTCCTGATGCTACATAACCTAGAGAGCTAAGCCTGTTTTTGTATGTGGCAGTTGTGTTCCCATTGATCTGAGGTCCATTTGGCTGTCTGTAACCTACAGGCTTATCTAACTCATCCTTTTAGGTTTCATCCCTTCTGTCTGAAACACCTGATAGCTCAGGGAAACTCTCTATTGCTTTTGTTGTGGGTTTTTCTCCACAGCCCCTGATATAAAGGGCATATTGTAACATCAGTTGGCAAGGAAGGAGATAGGAATTGGACCTGTGTTGCTTTGTGCCTCCTTGGCTTTTTCTGGCTTATGGGAAGGTATTGTAGCCCACTGTAACTGTAGAGCTACCAGACTGTTATCTTACTCTCGGGATGTGGCAGGTTTATGGCTGGAAATGGAAAAGCTCATTTAAACTCATCTTGGTCTAGCACTTTCCCTGGCCACAGTGTGTGTACTGGGTAACAGACAATCCCTGGCAGTGATTGGGTATTCATCGTTCAGCTATTCATCGCTTCAAGGCCAACAAGAAGGGGAAGACAACAAGAATTTAATTGTTAGCAGTGCTGGAATAGAATAACAAGACATCTTTCTGCGAAGGGCAGAGGTGTCGTATCAGTGAGCTACCAAAGTTAGGCAGGGAAAGATTAGATTCTTACGTTTTGGCATTAGTGGTGTTGAAACACCCTTGAGTGTAGGAGCAGGATGTTATCAGGGGTGTGGAAATGGCATTCACAATCTTGTCTTATGCCTTGTCAAAAATCCTCTTTCCAGCTGGACCAGGTAGCTCCTTGTACACGTGGGAAGGTGTTGCTGCTTCAAATTCTAGAATGCCGATTTCAGTATTTCATTTCTGTGTGAATTACTTCTGTTTGGTCTTTTCAAGAGTCTTTGGAAGAGTCTTAAGGTGGAAAAATTAGACTAGTTGGGCATTTATTTTCCAGGAGTTACTGGACTTGAGCTGTAACTGTTGATTCTTTGGTTCAGAACTAACAATTAAGACACTAATGATTTACTGTGAAGAACTTAATAATTCGTCATTCATTTTTTTCTTTTTTAATCTGAAGATGAGAAAGATTATTAGATAAATACATTTCTAGAGGTGTTCTGTATAACATTAGATGTTTCATAATCTGTTGAGAGAAGAAGGAATCACTGCTAGGGTCATTGTATGATCATCTTGTAGTATGGAATGGATTTAAATATACAGAACTGCTTGTCTTACTGGTGAATGAGCCATTTTTCATTCTGAAAGGCAATATGTTTGTATCAGAGAAGATTGGATTATTTTAGAGCTCTTATCAAAATGGAGTCTTTCCTCTGTAATTCTACAGTGCATGTCAAATTCAGCATGTTGAATGTGTCACTATTTTCAGTATGTTAAAAAACCAAAACACCCTACACAACAAAAACCCACCGCAAAATGTGAACTACTCTACTGCCCCAGCAAAACTTGCTTTGTTGCCAAATCACTAATATAGTAAGAGTCCGCTTTGTTGTGCATTATGCTTTCTTCCAGCATCCAGGTAGGTAGCTTCTGTATGTTGTGACTTGTAATTGATCCCTTTATAACTTCTGATTCCCAGCTTCCTGCCTTGCCCCAGTTGGTGTTTGGATGTTGCTGGTGGTTTGTTCTCCCTGGGCTGGCGTAGAGATACATGAGAGAATTAAATTTGGTTTCTCTAAGTCCCTCATGACAGCTCAAATGTTCTGCCTTGTTGCCTTTGATGTTACACAGCAACATGAAGGACTTGGAGCTTGTCTTTCCAGAATGCTTGGGTAGACTCTCTGCTAGCTGGGAATACTTGGGCTGGCTTGGGCGGAGTAACACTGCTTCATTTCTAGCTGTTAGGAAGATTTAAGCTTTGTTTGGGCTGGCATAGAGGGTCTTGGAGAAACCAAAACAAGCAGGTAAGAAATTGTGCTTCCTTTCCCCTGGTGCTTATGGTCCTGCACAGATGGTAAAAGTGTAATTGAAGGTCATCATAGACATGGTAGAAAGAACTCACCTACTGTATAAAGTAAACAAACCCAAAGCACAGACTCCCCACCCCCTGTAAAATCTCCTAGAGCCATTGAATATTTTTTCCAGGTTAAATTACCTAAAACATTGGCTTCTAAGTGCCTTCCAAAATTAATTTGATCTTTAATGCTGTGTGTCTGGACCTGAATTCCTCAGACATAACAAATAAATAGTTCTATAATAGTATGGAATACAGGATCAAATGTCTAATATCTGGTTATCTAGAGAGTAATTTTCTGTGAGTTTAGTAAATTATGAGATTTCCTGTTAAAATTTCCAGTGAGAGTTCAAACAATAGCTAATAAGGTAAATTTTGCAAAGCTGTGTGTTGTACAGGCCATAGTTGTTAAAATCTTGTTGGTTTTACAGATTGTGTTAAACTGTAAGTTAATTATCCTTTCTGCTGTGTGGGTAAGTATGGCTTGAACCCCAGACTGTGTTAAATAACTGGAGAACCTCCTCAAAATGCACAGTCTTTAGTCTGTGGTGCTTAGTGCCCTCCCTGCATGCTAACCGAGCTGAGATAGTCAACTATTTGTACAGGTAACTATGTGAACAAATTCTTGTGCTGCTGCACAGCTCAAGCAGCAAACCCAATCTAATTTCAGCTTTATTCAGAATGCTGTCTGGGTACCCTGATTTTTTTTTTCACTGTAAAAGTGTCACTCTTCGACTTGGACTTTGTGCCTGAAGCAGTGACATGTTTTCTTTCTGCCTGGGATACTATTTCCATTTTTTTCCTGTGACAAAGATTTTTTTTGTTTGTTTCTTTCTTTCTTCTTGTAGGTTGAAAGAAGAAAAGGAGCCCTGCTTGCCCAATGAAGATGCAGTCTTAGTCTTCAGCTATTTAAGCTGAATGCATTGTGATTTCCAATAATTGAGACAGTGATTCTGAAAGCTGTCTACATTAATGAAAAGAACAATGTAGTCAGCTTAACTGAATCATCAGTGTTGCATATTGAATAGACCATGATAAACCAATCCTGATGGACTTATGCATGTTAGGAATAGAGATACAAACATTTATTAAAGCATTGTTTTTTTAAAACAGTAGTTTTAAACATGGAGAACTATGAAAATGTACCACCCCTCCCTAAAGAACCTGCAAGAGAAATGAATGTGGAGAATCACTCTTGTCCCCCACCTCTGCCGCCTAACGAACAGCCTCCACCACCTCCCCTGCAAACGTCCAGTGACGCAGAGGTAATGGACGTTGGCTCTGGTGGTGATGGACAGTCAGATACCCCTGCTGGGGACACGCACAGTCTCTGCAGAACACAGCTGCTCACAAAGGGATCTGCCTGCTACAAAAGTCGTCTTATCATAGACCCTAACAGTAGTGACCAAAGCCCAAGAACTGCTCGTCATGCACCGTCAGTTCGAAAGTTCACCCCAGATCTTAAGTTATTGAAAGATGTGAAGATTAGTGTTAGCTTTACAGAAAGCTGCAAAAGCAAAGATAGGAAAGTTCTGTACACTGGAGTTGAGCAGGATTATAAGGCAGATACAGAGTTTGGTATTAATAATGTCAATGGGGATTTGCATGTTTGTCCTTTCGGTAGTAGTAATGGTAAAGCTGTAGGAATAGGGGGTGAAAATGATGAGAAGAAGGATGATGAAAATGATATTGATCAGGAAAAGAGAGTAGAATATGCAGTTCTGGATGAGCTAGAAGATTTTACCGACAATTTGATGGAAATAGATGAAGAAGGAGGAGGGTTCGCATCTAAAGCAATCGTTCAAAGAGATAAAGTGGATGAAGAAACCTTGAATTACTCATATGAGGTAAGTGCATCCACAGGGTTTTGGTGGGGAAGAGGTTTGCAAGTGGCTGGAAGAAAAATGTAAAGAAAGTCTTTTGTAGAAGTGTGCAGTGTGTGAGTCAGAACCTCAGAATTTTCAGACAGCTTTGGCTGAAAACTCCTGTTAATTATATTGATCAAACTTCTGAGTTGTGTGGCAGCTTCTATAGTTTTGTTTAAAAATAGCATTTAAAAGTCTTCTCATGCAGTTGCAGCTCATTTAATCATGAAAAATCCAGTTCTCACTTACAAAAACTTATTTTCTTATTTTTCAGTCTTTTTACTGGAATCATTGGAAATTTCTGTTTCTCTCTCTGTATGGAAGTGCAGATCAAAAATGTATACTTTCTCTTTGCAAGGGAGAAGGGAGGTTGGTAATCCCAGAAGGATAGTGTCTGATGAAGTCTCTTTCAGGATGACTTTGATAATGATGTGGATGCTCTGCTGGAAGAGGGTCTTCGAGCACCCAAAACAAGGAGACTAGATAATGAGAAATATGGTGGTGAAAGTGATCACCAGTCTGATGGAGAAACAAGTGTGCAGCCAATGATGACCAAAATTAAAACTGTACTGAAGAGTAAGTTCATGTTCCTGAAATAACTCTAATCCTTGTGTATGAATTCTGTCTGTAGAGAAAAAGTCTTATCAGCAAGCAAAGAGTGGGATAGCAGTTTTTGGGAAACCGTTAATATGGTGGTGAATTTTGTTTGGAGGTTTCTTACTATCGGATACATTTTTTCATGTTCCTGAACAATGAAGTTGATTTTTGAGAGTGCTTTTGATCTGTTGTTGTAATAGGAATGCATTTTAGTGTGTGGGTTTGTGAAGAACAATGAAGACTGTTACCTCAGTGATGGTGAACATGGGTGATCTGAGTTTTGTCTCCAGTGCCAGAACCAGCTGAAGATTTTGTGTTCATTGTAGACCTTTTCCTACTTCAGTTACATTACTTCTGCTGTTGAATTGCTCCATGTGAAGTGCCTATTCATGCATTACTAGGTTAAAACTAATGACTAGAAAAGTCAGTGGCTTACACTTAGCTACTTTCATTGTTTAAATGTGAGAAACTGCTAATAAAGACGAGCTGACGATGTTCACCAATCCAGAAGGATTTAGCTGAAAATACTGTACAGTTTCACTATATTGTGAAATAAGAAACCAAACAGTTTTTCCCTCCAAAGTTTTATGCTAGCACAGGATTGCCAGAAAACTTCCAGCAGAGATGAGTCGTGTCTGATTTGTGTTGTGGAGACGAGCGAGACCTTAGCTTACAGCTGAACTCTTAGCTGGCTGTTCGGGCCTGCAGGTCTAGTGGTGTGTCAGTACAGAAGTTATTCCTGTCAAGTGAAAAAATTTTAATGGAAAATGCAGTTGTTTCTAAAGCAAGTATGACTTTTCCAATGAATATAGTGGTGTTTGTGATGATATAAATACATAAAGAAGACTGAAGAAAAATTAACTGATGAAACAAACAAATCAGTGTATATAAACCTTAGTGCTGCTGTTGCCTTTCAGTTGGGGACATAATGGAATCTGTAATTTTGCAGGATTTAGTGTGGGTCAGAAGCATATACCTTGTCACTAAAACAAAAATCTCTCTACAACACGTTTTTCATCTTGTTTCAGTGTCATTTTAGTCTTTGAGACAGAAAAAGCAATAAACAAAAAACCCTGGATTCTTTTTCTATTCCTTTAAGCAATCTATCCAAGTTTAAAGCCGTTCTTTGCTTTAAAGGTCGTGGCCGCCCTCCTACAGAGCCTTTGCCAGATGGATGGATCATGACAT